TTAAACAAAGAAATGGTACGTAAATGGCTTGATAAGGAATGCTCTGAAGGACTCAGGTCACAAGCCACTTGGTGGCACTCTGCCCATATAAACTTTTTTTGTCAGTAGGCAGAGTGACAGGCTGTGGAACATCCCAGACTGGGCCCTGTCCCTTCAAGTCCCATGAAAGATGCTTTGCTCCACTCCTTCCCCTTTTGGTAGAAGCATCACCGGTTTAAAGCCTCATCAAAACAAGTTAGAGCCCACGTTCCACCTGCAATTCACTCAGACTACTCCAGTATGAAAGAACTTGAGCCTTGTCACACTGAATGGATATGAGGAAAGGAAAAAGAAAGGTAGAAGGAAATACATGAGAAAAAGTATAGTGCAGGCAGCTACCAGGAAAGTGAGAGAAGATAAAACTCTTGTAAATGGTATTCCCTAGGTAGGGAAGTTAAGACAATCAGCAGCTAAGGAACAGCAATCAAAGCACCAGGTGAGGCTAGAGTATTCCACATATTGCAAGCTTTACCCAAGAGGAGCCCGAAACACTACATTTCATACATATGAAGTTCAAACCTACCTATAAGTTATTTTCTCTCCAGAAATAAGATAACAAACTATAAGGTGCTAAGATAATCGGTTATCCTTATCTGCTTGTATCTTACTACTTGTTTATACAAAAGTTTAATGCTGCTTCTATTCCAGGAGATAGGGATGGAGAGATGACAACTACTTTTGTGACAAGACCGCAGTACTGAAGGGACAGCTTCATGCACTAACTTTCCTAAAGCAACGAGCAGCAGTCAGTACTAGTTTTACCCATCCAGCGGGGCATGCCCTATAAGCCTCTTTCTTGTATGCCTGTTACAAAATTTAACCATCGCACAATTGGGAACACAGTATCAGCCTAGGAATAAAGCAAGTCTTTTAACTGACCATCTTATGATTGCTAGAAGACAATATGCAATATTTACTCAGCTGCATAGCAAGAGTCCTGAATTCAAGCCTACTCAGGAATACTCACAGCCCCTTTTCCTTGGGGGGCAGGGAAGAAGTGCTCAGTGTTAGGAGCCAGAGGACCCTTGCCTAAACTCAGTACATACAAAGGATAATACCATTTAATTTTCCAGCCTGTTTTTGCTTCATGTTGTTACAGTAATAAAATGTCACTCCATACTAAAATTCCACTTCAGGATCTGGCATCACAATATGATAATCAAAACTCTTCAAAATGTTGAAGGGATTTATTGCCATTTGGAACATGTTTATTGTTCAAAAACACTGCACTGAAAAAATCCATCATATACATTCTTTGTCATCTGTATCTTTACAGCAATGTAACTTCAGGTAGGTCATGCAGGAAAACCACTCTCCCAATGACGTCAAAGAACTACTGAAAGGCACCTTATGTCCTTCAGATCTTAGACTCCAAACAAGTCAAGTTTTTGCCTGTATAAGGATTACATACACCTAGAACAACTCAAACAGTAGGAAAAAAATAAAATCCATTTAGAAATTAAAGAAGAGTATCAGATTTTGTTGCCTTCCTTCATTCAGTGCTATGCTTTTGCTTTTCCGAGTCTTCTTTAAATAATGTGCGACTTAAAAAATGTATGTTAATGAAGTCTCTTTACTGAGACAAGGCATGCAGTAAGGGAAGAGGGATAGCTGGTCACTTCCAGGCTGCCTGTCTACTCATTTGTTCTCGTAGATTAGCAAGCCACCGCTTAAGTTAAAAAGAGATAGAACAGGAATGAATGCACCCAAGTTAAATGGCTTTTAAGAATACATTAATACATAGAACAATGATACCACCTACAGTTCTGTTTACTGACCGCTGTTCATGTTGACTTGAAAACAAGTTTTGTCAAACCATCATGGGCCACTTTTGTAGACTGTTAGATAAAAAAGTTAGTTCTCAAATATTGCTTGTTATTTGGATGACTAACTCTTTATTAAAAGTGTAGTTACTAAGGACCTGTAAGGCAGCAAGACTTTAAATGCAATGGTTTACATTGCTGAATAGTACTTTTTAAAAGGCAAGATAAAAAAATCAGTAGAATTCTTGGTGGGGTCATATTCATAACAGCTGTTTCTGTTTTATCCCCATCGTAATTGTCACAGCAACTGTAGATGGCAAGTCTTCCTTGGTTGTGATTCAGGATGAACACATTCCCTGGCTTATTTCAAGTTAGCTATTTAGTTCTTTTTCTCCATCCTGCCAAGAGAAGAACAGCTTTTGTAAGAGTGAATATTGAATTGCAATTGCTATTAAAAAGTCTGGACTTACAGTAGAACTTTAGGAATGAAGGACATTTGGCCAGTTATTTGTGCAAAGGCAGGTCGACTTGCAGTTTCGCTCAGTCTCATTTTTTAATTTAGAGTTCAGGAGGCTCCATCCTCCCATTGCTCCACACAGATTTCTCAGAGCAGAAGAGAAAAAAGCCATAATCCTGACTCATCAGGATTGCTTGGGGCAGTGTCTGCACTACTTGCTACACAACAAGACCGCTTGCACTTTGTTCTCCAGTCACACTCAGTTAGATCTACCCCACAGTCAGCTTAGAGAGGTTTTGCTTGATTTCTCTTTCAGACATACAACCCCTTCAGAGTTTTATGGATGCTTCCATCTCAGGAGTTAGTTACTGAGATGGACACATACAGACTAATGAACATAATACAGGAAACAAACCCCAAAATAGCCAGCAGCTGCTGAAAGCCCTGTCTACATCCATGACCATAAGGGTTTTCAGCCTTTTCTGTGTGCACCCCTCAGAAGATTCAAAGGAGGTGCAATGCAACACGTCATAGTTCAGCCTGACAACAAGCTTGTTAATAGATTTGCAAAAGGTAATGAAGTTAAACAAGTTCAAAACCCACACAGGGGATTGCACCACAGTTAAAAGCCACCAACAGAGTATTCTAAGAGCCATCAGTTTATGACTTCCCCTTTTTAATGTGCGACTTGCCTGTATTTGATCAGTCGTCCTCCTTGAATGAGTTGTGCAACTTCATTAGTCAAGTGGCATGCAAAAAGAAGCCAGTTCCTTGGCTGCACTTTGTAGGCAAATCTCATGAAAGTCAAGGAGTAACAACACAGTGCTGCAAAATATGAAATATCATCAGTAGATTTTTAGTACCTGCATTTTGTTGAGGGATAATTGTCATACTAGTGGAATGTAATGACAAGTACAGCGCTTCTCACTGCTTTTGAGTTTTCCAATAATCCTACAGCGTGTCCACTTTGAGGATCCAGTGCAGCAACACACACAAGTGCTCATTTTTGCTATGCACGAAAAGTCTACAGCGCTACAGCTTTCCACAAAAACTTACTTTCCTCATATGCTTTCCTGTGATGCAACTGAAGTCTTTTTAGTTTAGGTAGTAAACTATCTCAGCCAGAGAATAAGAGTTAATCCCAGTTAGACACAGCCTGTCCTATACAATTATTCTGACAATTTCTAGGATAGAGTATTTAAAAAAACATACTAGTTACTTAAATATGTTCTTGCTGGGAACATTTTAAAATGGACTTTAAGAGAAGGAGGTTTCCATCCCCATGAAATCACATTCAGAAGCATAAAGCTTTGTTACCTGCTTTCCAGTAAGGTGAGAAACAATTTTAATCTACTCTCCTATCATAAGTGCATTTAAATACAGCAAATTACAACCCAAGAAGTCACTAGTTTTGTGAAGTTCTGACAGGCTTAAAGAAAAAATAATCAGGAAATTAATTGTTCAAGGAAAACAGCCTTTGAAGTACAGAACCTAGAAGATGAAAAAAATTTGTATACACACCACCCTATATATACTCGTAAAAATTAAAAAAGTGTCTCAACTTTGCTCAGCTGGGTAGCTGCCACCAAAACGCTATTTGCAAAACAGTTTCACTATATCAGAGACTATTCAAACTGGTCTTCCATCTCAAGGAAGCTGATTACAGACTGAATTACTCTAAGCAGAACCTAGTGAATATGAGGCTATAAATTTCCTTGAGCCAAAGGTTTTTCGCTTGAGGGAAGAAGAATTACTCAAAATTAAGTTATTAACTGAGTTAAGGAAGAGACATAATGACAAAATTAAGCTAATAAATTAAAGCTACCAGGTTTATGATCCTAGAGAAGAATTTGACCTTAAAATAGAGACAGACATCTAGGCAAGAGCTACAGATGTCCAAAAAAGCTGGAATAACAACATTGCTTATGCATTTAAAAAGAAATTCTCACACTGTTCCATCAGGAGTCACACTAGCCTCTCACAGCCAACTGCTTTGCAAGGACTTAATCTCCCTCAGCTGCTTTTTGCACCCTGCAGACCAAGCATTACCATTTTGTCACTTTGTCAGTGTTGATAAATTTAAGTCTCACACTAACCACAAAGCATCATTGTTCTTCATTCAACAAAGAAAGTTGGGTAAAGAGATGCATTTTGAACTACTGCGTGCAGTAGTATAAGATACCAAAAGAATTATACTTTAGGAGCGAGTCTGGTGATCAAAACTGCTGACTCAAGACCTGCCTCTCTCTCCCTTCCCAATTACTGGAAATATCTCTGAAAGAGAGCTCTGCACCTTTTTAGTACCTCAATTTTTAAGTGGCCTCTGAAGTTACATAACAAGATATTTGATATCTATGTCTGCTTTGATCATGAGTTTGCAGGCAACTAATAATATATCACTGCTTCAAAGACAGAATCTGTGTCCTGTAGTTAGTTTACCGGCAAGAAGTTTGTCCTAAATCTTACCAAATGTCATTCGGCCACTGATGATTTCTGGAGATTTCTTCATGTCATTAATAGCAGCAACAGGAAGTCCCCAGTTGGCAACTGGCCCCCAAAAGTGCTGTAAAGGGGGAAAAGGAGAATAAAGTTACACAGAAACATAGACTTCCTGTTATAGTTTTCTTTAGCCACACAAAGCTTCAGAGGACAGAGTTAAGGGTAAAATTCCAAGCTAAGACAGGGACTACTTTTGACATAAGGGAGAAAAGCTAAACCCTTCTTTTAGCTAGATCTAGTCTTCAGAAGGGAAGGAAGATGAACCCATCCTGAATCTTCTTCCAGACTGGAGAGGAACTACTTATAAGGCCACTGAAATGCAGTTTTGTGTAATTATATCTCAGCCATCATTAAGTAGTCTAATTGGTATGTTCATATAATCTCAGATTTACAGCTCCCTCTGTGCAGAGAATTAGCATTCATCTTTCAAACAAGTCTCCTCAAAAGTGTAATGAAAACACAAGGACTTGCTGAAGTGAAAAACTGGAACTGTTTTCATGTTACGCTGAGGATGAAGAAATGCTCAGCAAGCATGTTCTTCCAAGTGCTTACACCATCTCTTTGAAAGAGCAGGGCCATGCAACCAAATCAAATTGTTAGCTAAAGCTTCATCTGCAATTACTGAAACAACTTAGTGACTACCTAAAGCTCAGTCAGACAGCAGAGCAGTTAGCTACAGGTGTGTACACAGATAGAAAAACAGGGACAGGAAGTGGAAAGAATCAAGTCAGAAAAACAGACAAGACCTCAGTTTGATGGGTATTGTCTAGAAGACTCCAAACTGAGAAAAATAGTGTCACAAGTCCAATTTCCACTACTGTTATGAGTAACAAGGCTTCAGTAGAATTCTTCCCACAGAAGATGCATGCAGTACTTGCATCAGCTTCTCCTAATGGGAAACTAAGGCTGCTCAACAGTAACTTGGCCAGATATGGCAAAAGAGACGCACCTTGCAAGAAAAAGCTTTGCAGATACCAACTATATCTATTCTTTTGACACTTCCCCTAACTGTAACTCCGCAGATATTACAAGGATTTGGAATTGTCAGGGGATATTTAAGTTTCTTGCAATTTTAGTTCCAAGATACTCTTGCTAGTCTAGATACTAGCTTGTAACACTACAGTAAGATTAAAAGCCACACTTGGTCCCTGCAGATTCAGGCTGCAATATAAGAAACTCAACTAAAAAAAAGTATAGAAAAAAGTGAGTTTAAGTTGTACATGCTGTTTTGATAGTTTAACCTCAGTGCAATATGCAGAACAATGTAGTATTTCTGCAAGTGTCTACAGAATGTGCATTGGTCTAAACTCAGATTTATAAGAAGAGTATTTTGAAGAGTGCAATACATGCATTTGTTTACTATATTCATACCAATAGAAAAATTGACATCTGTAATGGTTAAAGCCTCTCAAGCACGTCAGAGGTAACATGGTATAACCGAGAGGAGTTACATGGCTACATGGTATTTACACTGTTAGGCCATGGTTAGATAGTGTAAAAAAATGTACCTGTAATACCACTTATACGCAAGAAATGTTGCAACAGAACAAGAACATTCACAGAAAACAGCAGCACACAAGGTGTTATTTCAGAGGCTTTAATGTAGCTACTAAATAGTTTTAAAGGACATTAAGAGGATCAAAAACATCTAGTCACAACCATGATTATTTGCACAGTAAGACAGCAAGACAACTTGTGTTAGCATCACCACACTAAAGCAGATTGCAAAACGTAACTGGCGAGGCAGTACTTGTACTTGGTGAGGTTTTTTTACAGCTGTTTCAGGACTCTCATTTAAACAACTGCAGTGTCAGAAAAATAAGTCTTTCGGGCTCTAAGCTTGATTTTTTGAATCTATGAAACAATTACAGCTTTGAGAGTCTCAGTGATGACTTCTGTGTTGAAAAGTAAATCAAGTCAACTTGGTATTCACCTGCCATTAGAACATAAACAAATAACACAGTACAGACTACAGACCACTTCAAGCTCAGGCTGCACAAGCTGAAGAATCATCAGTTCACATGCCAGCAGCAACCTTCCTCTGCTGACCAAGGAGGTAGATTTGGAACCTTCTCACTTGAGATGGTTATCCAGTTTTAAGTGCCTTCAGGCAGGCAGTCCTATGAAGTTTCCACATACAAGAATTAAACTACTCCTACACAGTTTGTCTTTGGTCTACACAGAAGAACAAGTCTCCCATAACATTATGACTCACAATATAACAGGCATAAAATACCCACTTCCAGTTTCAGAAGCAAACTGAAAGGCTGAAGGACAGAAGAGTCTGTAGTGAGAATTACATGGTACCATATATTGTCCGACAAAGCTGGTTAAAAAAAAATAAATAAATCAGCCAAGTAGTTTGGTTATGTACCAGTATTGTTGCTATGCAGAAGAGTGGCTCCGGATTGATCTAATCTCCTTAGCAGAGTATGGAAAAAATGAAGCACCTTTAAGCTTGTAGTGATTACTCTAGAAGACATTTTGAAGGAGCTAATGTTTGGTCACCTTAACTTCAGACTTGCAAATAAATATTACTACTGCGTCACTCCTGGAGGTTTGCAGTATGCTCTTCAGACGCGGGCAAGGTCATCACAGTGCTGAGGCAAAAAGACTGCAAGTTACTGAAGTTAGGGAGAACGTGAAACCAGAAGTCCCCTCCCTTTTCTTACCGTACTGTTCGAGTGGGCCATCATTGTTTTCCATTCAAAAAGCACATGCAAGAAAGAAGAAAAAAAGTGTTAGTTTCTTTTACAACATAGAGAGAAGTGTACCACAAACAGAAGATAGGTAGAAGTCAGGAAACTGCTGTGGCAGTAACCTTGATTAATGTCACAGTATTAAAAAATCCCATTTCCCTCAAGCACTGTCACTGTGACAAGTGTTTCCTGCTCAAGTATCTTTTTCCTAGCAAGATAAAATCCCATTATGGTCTGTGGAAGACATTCGTCCCCCCTAGACTTCAAAGCATCCAAGATCCCACTCCAGCTAGTTTAAAAGGATGCTAAAAGCCATCAAGGTTTGTCATGACAAAGCTAAACAGCTCCAATTCTGTGGAAGCTTTGAAGAAGTCACTTGGAATTCTTTGCACACCTACGTAAGTAGGTCAAAGCAAACGTTGCCAGAGATCTTATTGTCACTAAGCTCAGGCCAGGCCAACTGTGGCTGTACCAAACATGAGCTATAACACATTTTCAGTGATCTAACATGCAGTTACACTCCAGTCATGTATAGGGTTCATTTAAGTGGTCATCTAGGTACTAATCCATGTAATGACTTGATGATCTATGCACAAAACCTAGACTACAGCATATATTTAAGATTGTTTGCTACTATACCTTTTAAAATACTTCAGAACTTTTAAACATCCTCCTTCTAACAAAGATACTGATAGGACTCAGTTCCGAATTACGACTTTTAAGAAACCAGCTACTAATGAAAAGCCTACCGCTGCCCCAAGCTGCAGAACACTTTGTAACAGTCACTTCTCTCACACTGATTTCCATATTCTTAGAGCCCTCTTTTACAAATAGCTATGGTAAGGGAATAGTCAGGTCTACTTAGGAAATCTCACTGGATGTACATTTCAGAGTCTTTGCTGCAAGGCACAGGTTGGTTCAAGATGCTTTATTAGCTTGTCCTTGACTAGTCTAACCACTTGTTTTCTGTTTTCTTATTAACTGAACTGCAGCAATAGTTAATTGAAGTTCACAGGACAAGTGCACACTTCAATTTTTTCACAAAACCTTAACTAAACAAGTTCAAATGTGTCTCCTAGCACAATGTTTTTGTGCCACCAGAAGTCAGCCTTCATTTTTAAAGTGGAAGTTGTTTTCAGGCAAGTGAAAGCCTAAAATAGAATCAAACTGATGCTATTTTAACAGAGTAGGCAGCTCTGAGTAAGGTCTCGCAAGGTTGTCCTCACATTCACATGAGGCTGGAACAGTTACTATACTCCTAGAAGAGGGCAGATCAAGGTCATAGAGACTTCCAAAAGCAGGCATCCAGCCCCAAAGCTCTGCAGCCAATACAGCTGCAAAAAATGCACCATATCCAAGAGCAAGAATACGGTAGCAAGTGCATGCATCTATTCCTGAAGTGACTCCATTCCAAGTTAGTAGTTTCCAAGAACTACATTCAATCCTTTGTCAAAGGGAACACTTTGTACTAACATTTCCAACAACAGTTGTTGGATTTACTCACTCAGTTTCTGTGCAAGTGTCCAGACATCACAAGAGGAACTAGCAGCTGATCAATACCTTATATTGCTACTACAATTCATTCCAAAAAAGCTATACCGGGAAAGATTTATTTTTCCAAAGTTTTGCATTTTCCTCATACTACCAATGAGGATATAAATAGCCCAGAGATCATTCTGCAAATATAGATGAACGGTCACCACTTGCTTCCCCCGCACCGCCATGCCCTAAGTGGAAAGGGTATGACCCTTCTGCAAAAGGGTTAGATTGCTCACTTCTCAGAGCATACAAGATGATGACAGCAGGCACAGCATCCTTCAGTTTCTAGCACAGACTAGTAGAGGATGTTTTCAAGTTCTTATGTCCTTGTGTTTAAAGATTTACTAATAAGGAGAATTGAAGATCAGCTAATTCTAGTTATACCACCAACATTAACTCTTCTAAAGTTCATTTCAAGCAAAAACCAAGGTCCTAGAGAGCTTACATCAACGGTAAGTGCTCAAGCTTTACAAGGAATAAACTATGCATCTATTTCAAAGCCATCTACATTAACAGAGACACTACATTTGCATTACTGCTGAGTCATCAGGAAGAGACACTTTAGAAGTGCCCCAGAAGATGTCAAATCTCCATGCTTATTTTTCTATTACCAGATTTCGGGACTCATTATGTGACTAAAGTAATTCAGTCTTGTGGTCTTCTACCACAAGAAGATGCCTGAGCTTGTCTAGAAGTTTTCTCTCTCAGAAGAGGAGGAAAGCTGTTTTACTGGATGTTTTTCAGAAAATACTGCTTTAAATCATTAGGCTAGGTAGTAAGAGGTCTCAGTTGCCTACTATTAGTGGCTTAAGTTGTATTAT